AAGTGTAAATAATGAATTTTATTGATAATTACTTGCCAACTACAAGTGTTTTTTTTTTTAATCAAAAAGAGATATTTGAAACATGAAATTGTTGGGCTTCTTCCCCCTCCTTTCCCTAAGGATATTGTCCTCCTTTTTATAGGAAATGATGAGCATGTATCTTTCATATTTTTGTCTTGTCAACAACAGTATCGAGTTGGGAACATGTACCAATGGCTCAAGTCCTGATTGGTTGCTGTCAAATCAACTTACAGTATCGAATTGGGAAGTTATGCCAATGGCATATCCCCATTGGTTGCTGAGGCCGGCTCCATTAGGTTATCATGAAGCCGACCTTAAATGGGGTCCCCAATAATTAATGAACTGATTAGAAAATGAAGCTATAGTATATGATTGGTAGAATTGGTGGGCCTTGACGTAAATCCTTCCGAATGTCATTAATTGATTGAATGTTTTGACAGTGTGTAAGGAATCTACAATTATTATGTCCTCTCAAGCCACGACGGTCCTAAGTGCGAGCTAACCTTGCAGATTCGACCTTAATTTAACATGAGCTAAGTGCATATAGCAAACGGATTTAATTAGGTCACAAGTCGGATGTCAACAAAAATAACGGAGACTAAAAATCACGAAAAGAGGAGAAAATTAAAATATCAAAAATTAATATACAATTTTAGAAGAAATTATTTTTTCTTAATAAATTTTTTTCGATCATTAAGAGTGACGCATGCTAGAGCCTATAATTTAATTACGAAAAATACTTAAATTCTTCTACTCTTAAACCAAACTTATATAAAAAATACTAATTAGATATAAACTATATAGTATCAAGAAATTGCAGTCCACATATTAAACTCGTTCTCTTCAAATAAAAAAGAAAAAAATTATATTTCAAACGAGAATCTCAAACTCAAGATAACCAAAAAGGTACACGACATCTCAAATTATGAATATATTTAGTTCAATTGCCACATGTTATAAAAAAAAATTACTTAAATTTGTAAACAATACAAAACTGTAAAAAGCTCGAATGGTAAAAAATGAATATTTTGATTCATCAATTTACATCTCAATCTAATTTGAACTTTTTGATTCATAAAGAGCCTAAAATTGTAAAGATTTACATGTACTAGAATAATCTAATGTCAGGCGATGTTCAAAAAAGTAGAAGCTAATCTTGATTTTGTAGGGTTAGAATCTAAAATTTTAGAATAATTACTACCAAATTAGGATTTTTAGATATTTTTTTACCCAACTTATAAATTTTATATAATTTTTTTTAAAAAATAAAATAATAATAATAATAATCGGTTCCACTCGAGTACTCACGGTTCTGGTTTAGGAATAAAGAATCGAATTGAACCCAATCGATTATTGATTCTAGGTTCAGGTTCCTAATTTTATTTTTTGCGAACCAGACAGGAACCTCTGATCCCGATTCTATTTTAGTTCGAGAATAGCAACAAATGAATTCAATATCAATGTGCAACAATTTCAACCACCTTCTTCCATGGGTCGTGACTCAGCATATACCAAATATTTAAGCACATCGATATAGGGATTACTCAGC